AGGGTTCCATTAGGACTCGCCAGCGCAATTCTTGCGAAATGCAAGCACACTAGCAACGCACTGCCAAGCGCAATGCCAACGCAATGCCAATGCGATGCCAAACAATTGCCAAACCAATGCCAATGCAATGCCAACGGGGAGTTCTTTCTTGCGAAGCATCTCAATATAAATCCTTCTGCGGGTGATTTCAATCGGAATCCATCTGTGGAGGATTCCAGTAGGAATCATTCAGTGGAGGGTTTCGATAGGAATCCTTCTGTAGAGGATTTCACTATGAACCCTTCTTGTGGAGCGTTCAACAGGAATCCTTCCAGGGGGGAGGGCAGATTAGGCCACGTCGCATTCCTTGTTTTTCGCCGCCGACCCCCCCCCCCAAAAAAAAACCGGTTAAAACTTTCCAATCTGATCTTTTTTTGGGGTAAGAAAAAAGAAGGAGGAGGAGGACGAGGAGGAGGGGGAGGCGGAAGGAGAGGAGGACGCCACAGAGTACGCACACCACTGAAAGACGCACGCGCGAACTCGGTGTGAAAGCCTCGCGCGCGCCCTGGAACCCCGAGGGGCTCCACAATCCCCCGTTCTCGAGGAGGAGGAGGAGGAGGAGGAAGAGGAGGAGGAGGAGGAGGAGGAGGAGGAGGAGGAGGAGGAGGAGGAGGAGGAGGAGGAGGAGGAGGAAGGGAGCCTGCCGACCCAAACTGCCCCCCACGGCCCTGGCTGCCCCGATCTGCGCACCGCCGAGATGCACAGCAGCCACCCCCCCCGGCTGCGCGCCGGCGCGCCGCCGCGCGGCCCGCCCGCCCGGGGCTGGGCACGAGGGAAAGGGGCGCCTTCTTCCTTGCCCTGCAGGCGGAGCCGAGACGGAGCAAGCCCGGACCTGGCCATCGCTCGGACGTCCATTCCCTGTGTTTTTGGGGTTTCGTGCGTGGCTTTTTCGCCAAGTGATCGAGGATGCTCCTCGATGGTCCTCGCCGAAGAAAAAATGCACACGTCCGAGCGGTGCCGAGGGCTGAGCCGAGACGGAGCAAGCCCGCACGGAGACCGAGCACCCCGCGCGGACCTGCTCCGTGGGGGCTCCGCCTCTCCCGACCCCGGCGGGGAAGGCCGGCCCAGGGCTCCGGCGCGCGCCGCCACGGACGACGGGCTGAAAGTTTGCAGTTCCAAAACAACTAAAAAGTCACCACAAATGAAAGGTTTTGTTTTTTTTGGCCACAAAAGTAAAAACAACCATAACACCCCCCCTTTAGCAAAACGTGGTTTAGTGAAAACGACCTCGGGCCCAAACCTGGCGGGCGCAAGCCTGGAAAATAACGGCCGCGGCGCCCTCTCGAGAACCGAAAACGGACAATTCACTAATCGACGTGTCACTGTTGGGGGTTCTGTCCAGCCCCGACACATTACAAACGAGAGCCATGTGCGCAAATGTGTGAAAACAAGGAAAACAAATTTCGGATCTGGCGCGCGGGCGCCTAAACGGGGCGGTGACCACACCGTGCGGTGAGTCGGTGGGGATTCGGGGTCACCGCACGGTTTTGGGATTCGGGTCGTTATCCGAGGACGTCTCGGGCGACAGGGGCCTCCGAGGTCCCAAGACCGTGCGGTGACGGACCGTGCGGTGAGGTCTTGGGGGATTTCGAGGTCACCGCACGGTCTGTCACCGCACCGTTTCGGGACTCCCAACTGGCGCGCGGGCGCCCCGAGCCACCGGTCCAGGGGAAAGGGGCCCCCCGACGCAGGGCACGGACCCCACCCGGCGACGGAGCGCGCCGTGGCTCGGCGGAGGCACGGGCCGTCGCCAGGACCACGCGCCCAGGCCCAGGCCTGCGCTGCCTCCTCCTCCTCCTCCTCCTCCTCCTCCTCCTCCCTCCTCCTCCCTCCTCCTCCCTCCTCCTCCTCCTCCTCGCCCCTGGGCCGCGCTGCCTCGAGGGGTCGACTGCAGGAGCGGTCTGCGCCTCGCTCGCGAGGCGACACAAGAAGTGGGCGTGTTCGCGGACCTAGGAGCATGCGACTCGTCTTCGTAGGCTCGGCCGAAAAAGGTCTGGGGCAGAGTCAATTCTGCAGTCGACCTCCTGCTCGATCGATAGACCCTGGGACTTCCCCAGGGCCACTCTTCCGCGCTCAGCCCTCAGAGCTCGGGGAGCCCGAGCGCGCGGGAAGGGCACCGGTGGAGGGGATCGGCGGTGGACAAACCTCCCTTTAGTAAACCTCCCCTTAGTGAGGACGGCCTGGGACCGAAACCGACGGACCTGGACCCGCAAAAACGAGGGCCGCGACGCCCTCTCGCGAACCGAAAATGGCCAATTCCTTCATCGACGTGTCAGGGTAGGATTGTGGATGCCATGACAATGTACACTCTAACAATCCTATCATTGAACAAAACATGTGTTTAATAATGTGTAAACCATGTTCTAAACATGCTTCATATATATATATATATATATATATATTGATAAAACGTGTTTGAAACATGTTTTAGACATCTGGAAATGATTATTTGGCAGCACGCTTCCTCTCCATTCATCGACTTCCACAAGGGTAGGTCTATCAACCTCCGAAGGGGAACGTCAGAAGGGGGAGCGGCCCCGGGAGGGGGACACATCGACCTGTAAGGGGCCGAACTCTACACACCGACGCCTTTGACTGGCCTCACACCGAATCTCGTACAGGAAAGCGGATCCTGGTGTATACGGGATCCTGGCGTATACATTTTTTCGTTGTTTCCCTGGGACAACGGGGAACAAATGTACACCACACCACCCCGACGTCGCCCCCGATCCTCAACAAGTCCTGGGATTGAAAAGCAACCCGACCCTGGTAATGTATACGGCAGGGTCGTGTATCCTGTCGACCCCGGCGCTGGTCCCCGACACCGCGGGGACCGTTCAACCTTGAACGATCGGCCGTTCCCGGAACGTCAAGGTCGTTCAACAATTCAGCATCGACTGATTCTGGGCGGCCGCCTGCATTCTCGGGTCGGGCGAAAGGGGGGGATAGCAAAGGGGGGGTTTGAGAATCAGCTCGCGTAGCTGTTTTTCCCGGCGCCTCCCGGCGCCGAGGGCGGCCATGTATCGAGGAATGGGCCCCTCGGTGAGGCCGAAACCAGCTGCATGCAGCAGATTTCGTAACCCCCCCTTTCCCAATCCCCCCCTTTCGCCCGGCCCGAACAATTCAGCATCGACTGATTCTGGGCGGCCGCCGGCATTCAACGTCGAACGCCGCTGGTTGGCGGGATGCAAATGGGGGGATAAGTCCAGATGGGGAGAGAGGCGCAACCGAGGTACAAATTGTACCTACGCCCCACGGAGAAGGTACAATTTGTACCGACGCCACGCAGACAAGGTACAAATTGTACTTTTGACAACGTCCGCGACATGTGCGAGGACGTTAACGGGGGGGGAGAAGGCACAATTTGTACTTGCAACCCGAAGAGAAGGTACAAATTGTACCCCAACAAAACGGTACCGGATACTCATCCCCCCATGTCCTTATCCCCCCATCGCCATCCGGCCGAGCTGGCGGGGTCGCCGCCGGTCGACACGACACGAACCCGCCGTATACCCTCGCGGAGGCATCGGCGATGGGCCGCCCCATGGCGAGAGAACGCACGCTCCTGCGCGGGCCCGGCTCTCGGGCCCCGTCGGCGATCAAGAGGCGACTGGGCCCAGGCGATCAATCGGGGATGGACAGACCCCCCTTTAGTAAAACGTGGTTTAGTGAAAACGACCTGAGGCCCAAATTTGGCGGGCGCAAGCCTGGAAAGTAACGGCCACGGCGCCCTCTCGAGAACCGAAAACGGACAATTCACTAATCGACGTGTCACTGTTGGGGGTTCTGTCCACCCCCGACCCAGGCGATCAATAGGAATCACCAGCAGTATGCGACTGGCAGTGTCGCATACTGCTGGTGATCAATAAGCAGGAGAAGAAAAAGCGGCACAAGCATAAACTTTCGGCGCTCCACGCGGATTTCTTGGATCTGTGCCGGACCCCCCTCCCTGGCGCGCGGAGCGCGCCATGGGCGGCGCCGGAGGCGCCGCCAGGGGGGCCCAACGCGGATCCAAGAAATCCGAGCAGAGCTCCGAAACTTTACATTTGTACTTAGTTCGGGCATGTCCCCCTACAGGCGGATTTTGGACGACAAATGCGAAACATACCCCCAAACATGTTCAAAAAGCAGCCCACAAATTGTCAAACACATCGTCCCCAGACTATTTTTTTTTTTGACTATTTTTGAACCTTCCCCCTGTGGAGGGACAGGCCCGACTTACGCTTATGCTGTCTTTCCTGCTTCGAAGAAGGGCCCCTCGGCCACTCTGTGGACCGCCACACGGCAGGTCGCTCGGCTCTGACGCGCCCTCGCTGTCGCGGCACGGGCAGGGCCACGGTCTGCCCCGCACGGCCCGGCCCAAGTACACGCATCCGACCCGGGCACATTTCCTGACCCCGCGCTCGGCCCGGCACGTATCTGCGTGCTGCCGGCAGAGGGTTGCCGCGCCAACGTCCCCCCCGGGGGCCCGAGAACGACGGGCAACAACCTCCGGGGCCCCTCTCCTCCGTGCTGACTGGGGAGCGCCCGCGCCGGTGCGCGCTCTGGCAGGGCCTCGCGGCGCCCGACCTATGCCCGCCCGAGGCGCGAGGAGGGAGGCCCGAGGCTCGAGGCTCGAGGCTCGAGGGTGGAGGCGCGAGGATGGAGGCTCGGGGCTCGAGGATGGAGGCTCGGGGCTCGAGGATGGAGGCTCGGGGCTCGAGGATGGAGGCTCGGGGCTCGAGGATGGAGGCTCGGGGCTCGAGGATGGAGGCCCGAGGGCTCGAGGATGGAGGCCCGAGGGCGCCGCGGCGCGCGGGGCGCCGCGAAAAACGGGCGGGCGCGCAGGGCCTTCAGACGCTGCGCTGCACGGCCTCCCCCGCCGCACCGCGCGGGCGAGCGCGGAGGGCCTCTTAAGGCCCCCCGCGCCGCGCGCGCGGAGGCACCCGCGCGGAGGGCGCCCGCCCCGCCAGGGGGAAACGAACAGCGAGCTGCACACAACAGCTCGGAGCTCCGCGCGACTTCCTCGAGCCGGCGCCGGGACCCCCCCCGGCGGCGCCGCCCCGGGCGCCGCCCCTGGCGCGCCATGGGGGGGAGGGGGTCCAGCGCCAGCCCGAGGCACCCGCGCGGACCTCTCCGAGCCTGCCTCTGTGTATCTGTCGCTGTGTTCGCTCCCCCGGTCCGCAGCCCGCCCCTGCGAAAAACGACTGTAGCAAGAGCCCCGAGGGGGCTCGAGGGGCTCTGCGCCCACCGCCCCGCCGAGGAAGGCGCTCGAAGGGCCCGAGGCGCTGCCAGCGGAGCACCTCGAGGGGCTCGGCGTTCGCCCCCCGCCCGAGCGCGCTTCCCGCCTCGGGCGCTGCCGGAGGTGGCCCAGGCCTGGCGTGGCTCGGGCAGCCACCCGAGCGCCCCTCGCGGGGCCCGGAGGGCTCGAGGGGCTCCAGCGGTGGGGCGAGCGACGGGGGCGAAAACCCGCGAGAACCCCCGGAGGCTCCAGATGGGGGAGAGGACGAGGGGAGGAAGGGTCGGAGTGGAGTTGGAGCTGGAGTCCCAGGACGAAGTCCTCCCAACACTCACCGCGACCCTGCAAGAGCTATCCGCCTCTCTTGTCGTAAACCTTGGGCCACTGCCTCAACGCAGAGTGGAGGTGGGGGAGGAGAATAGAGGAGACAGGAGTCTGAGTATGACCATGTGACAAAATCAAGCTGCTGGATTGAAGCCGAGCTCTCACTCCTGCATTGCGCCTGCTTGCGGCGGGAAGCTTGCGCTGCTTTTCTCATGACATTCGGCCAAAGCTCACGAGAAGTATGGCTGAGGTAGTCAGCTTGGATGGGGGTATGCCTGTGATGACAAATCTGGCGGAGGAGGAGTAGGTGGCGGAGGAGGAGGAGGAGGAGGATGGAGGAGGAGGAGGATGAGGCTTCTGGACCCTTTGAAACAATCACAGGAGGTCAAAAGGGGGGGGGGTGGGGGAGGGGGTGGGAGGGGGGGAAGGGGGAGGGAGGACCTAAGACGACCTCCGCACGGAAGTGCCTCAACACTGACAGGACCTGCACCGAGACACCGCCGTGACCACGACAGCCAGCCCACTTCCGCCCCCCCAGACGGGGGGGGGCCTGGACAACCTGCCGTGGCGCACGGGCCGCGCTCGCCTTCCCCCGCTCGCCGCGGGGGCTCCACTCGCAGGGCAACCAACGCCTCTGACATCAAGGGCTTGCTGGAAGGCCTTGAGGAGGAGGAGGAGGAGGAGGAGGAGGAGGAGGAGGAGGAGGAGGAGGAGGAGGAGCTGGGTCGGTGCACGATTACGCCAAAGGTTGTTCCTCGCATCCTGGCTGTGCAAATCTATACGGTGCAGCAAAAACCACTGCTCAGCAGTTTCCGTTGCTTTCCCGCTGGGGACGAGGAGGAGCTTCGGCCAAGGCCACCCCTGGCACCCCCCGACTGGCAAAGTCGGCATCTAAAGGCCCAGAGGAGCGTCCGGCCAAGTACCGGGCGCCGAGCAGGGCCGACGACGGCCCGTGGAGCAGCCCCCAACGCTGCACCGCAGGTCGGCGCGAAATCCCGCCTCCT